CATACAGTGAGTGCCTTGTGCATCACCCAGGCCCCCGGGCCCTTTGACACAGGGAATTCTTTGAGTGGCTAACCTTGTTCCGTGAGGTCCACCATCCTCCAATCAAGAGAGATGCAGCCTGGCATTTTCTGGGTTGATTTTGGAGGAAATTACATGCTTTTCTTCCCAAAACGGAGATTTAAAAAAAAAATTTAGATGTAAAAGAGAGAAATTGGGTGATTCCATAATTAATCCTTTCGTCTTTTGTTTTATTCACTTACTTCTTTTCTTCTCTCTTTCTTTCCTTTTTCCTTCCATTCTTCTCCTTCCTTCCCATAGGGATATCTTGTCTTACATTGTCTTTAGTTATTTGTTCAGGCCTCCATTGCAGCTTAGAAGTGTGGGGTGAAGAATGAAGCCTTGAAGCTCTTATAATAAGAAATGGAAACCTAATAAAAACTAGTTTGTTGGCCGGGATGATGTTAGATTCTTGATCCAAAGCCTACTGATATTAATGGAAAGACTCCCAGGAATTTGCTGATATAACATGGTGATTGATGTCCATGCCTATGTCCCACATGATTTCCCTTTTATGAGGCTTGGAACGCCACCCCTCCCCCATTTTGACTTGATACATGTCTAGGGAACAAATATCCAGACTGCTCTTCAAAGGTCCCTCGTAGGTCACAGCATTCATCTAGTACAATGGTCTTGTATATGCCTATATTCATTCAGATAGCCATGGGATTGAAACTCTGGGTTAATACTTCTCTTCTGCCTCGCCAGCCTTTAATCTGGTCATCTGAAGGATCTGTACCACTAATTCATTCAGGAGCTTATTAGAAAATGTAACCAGCACAGACTTAATTTCATGGTCAAGAAAGCAAAATAAATACAATGGTTTGGGATACTCCTTACATTTTTAGGTAAGAAATAATGATTTTGGAATGAAAGGACAATGCCAGGAAAGTCTTTTACAAAGCCATTCCTACCTGGTAATGAATCCACTGGGCTGCTGTCTGTTTGCCTCAAACCTTTGAGCCTCCAACTTGATATGCAGCCAATAATACAGCACTGATTCTATTGACTTTGGGATGCCACTGGAGTGTGGTTAACCCCCAGAAGCACTCATTTCCAGGCACACTGCAAGAGATCTTAATGTCATTTCATATAGTAGTGCCATTGATACCTCTTGTAAGCTGCCTTCAGGTACATATCTGTAATCTGTCCTTGGAAAGTATTTAATAGAATAGACATTTTACAAGATGCCCTGAAAAAGCCCCGTGAACTACAACATCCTGTCCTATGCAAAATGGGGCATACCCTTTCAAGTCAGCTAGCAGACTCATAGAAACAGATAAAGGTTTAGAAACGCTGTTTCCTCCTCCCCCTGTAACATGTTTCTTCCTGCTGTCTTCTCTCTCATGAGCAGACATCTGGACGTTGCCACCTATGGTTCAGGAAAATTTCAGGGCATGTGATAAACCTGGCATTTGGCAACATGGATTGTATTAAGGAATCCACATTGCCAAATGTCTGACATTTCACCTGTCTAACATTTCACTCGAGCAAAAGTCTCTCTAGGGTCCTCTTTAGGTGAACTTTTGCAGCTAGACATATCAGGCACAGACAGAAGTGACAATTTTTGCCCAATCTGTCCCCTGAAAATGCTCTACAACTGTGACCAAACAGAAGTGCATGGCTACAGATCACTTCAAAAGGGCCTGATCCTGTGAAAATCAAGCCCTTGTTGCATGAGGGTTCAGATGAAGATGTTCCAAAGCAGAGTGGCTTCAGTAACTTCTGTCTGCGCCACCTTCTCACTCCCAGCACTGTTTTCAGAATTGGAGTGGGGAAAGGGACGGGAGGGAATTTTGGTTTGGGGCTTTTTCAGTCAGTGCTGGAGGGTGGGGTAGGTGGATCGGAGCCCCTCCCTCAAGTGGAGGGAGTGCCCCCCCTTCCAATCCACCCTCCCACCCTTCAGCATTAGCTGGGGAACCCCCAGAGGGAGTTCCCTCTGCTCCTTTTCCCCCTCCCATTCTGAAAACAGTGCTGGGCCTAGGAGGCAGGAAGGGCATTGCTCAGGGAAACCAGCTGCATACTGGCAGGCAGCAGCTGGATTTTTCACCCTCCGCCCCCACACACCCCCACACACACCTCAACAGCAAACTTCTGTTCAGTTGGCGGGATTATTGTAACTCATGATGCTTCCTGAGAAGTGTCATGAGTTACAGTGGGGAGCTGCACTTCTGTCTGCACCTATCAAATGCGTTGGTGTCTCTGGAGCACTTGATTTCTGTGGTTGATACTGCAGTTCTTAGCAGCTGCTTCTCTCCACCATAAAAAGCAGCATAAAAAGAGAAGACAGACCTTAAGAGTGAGACTACAAGCTGTAGAGGGGAAGTCCTTTTCTGGATTCCTTTTGGAGCATATTGACTGGTTGAGGAGATGAATGCTTAATGTACCTTTAGTTTTATTTTCATATAAACCCCAAAGTAACCAGGCAACTTTAAACATGTATTGGACATTCATGACCACAAGGAAATCAGCAATTGGTCATTATCAATGGCTGATCCTTGCTGCCACGTTGCTCAGGAAAAAACTTTATGCCTGCGTACGCTGGAGAGTTGGTCCCATTCTTGTACCATGATCAGCATTCCCTCTAAGCTGCGTGGCATGTGCGGCCATGCAGGCACGCTTATGTTGCACAGCCAGGCGGCATGCCTCTGCAGCTGTGCACACCGCACAACTTAGAGGGAATGCTGACCATGATCACACTCTGCTTCAGATTCAGAGAGGCTAGCACAAAAGTGTCACAGGACAAATAACTTCTAGCCCCTGGGAAACTCCTCTAGGCCACCTCTCCTTGGCAAAGGGAGGCTCTCCATGGTTGCCCTGGCAATTCTGAATCCTTGCCACAATGCAGCAGGGGCATGACTTAGTCTTAGGCAGCCCAGAACTCTGTTCTAAGCTGGCACTGAGAGTCATCTGACTTTCTGCAAGCCCTGAATCAGGTAGTAAACTGCCTCTGTTGAGGACCTGTGCCAGCACAGGGACAAATTTAGCCCTAACTGTTCAGGCAGCTGAGAGCTGTGTTGACAGTCCTGTGTGAGCAGGCTCCTTGGAGATTGCTTTTATAGATTTACTCAGATAAAAGACTCACAAGAACATAGAGGCACGAGTACTATACGGCAGCTTCTAGTGAAATGCGCTCTACATGTACTGTACTGAAATCAGGGAGCTGCTCAGAACTCTCAGGCCTTTCGTTCCTGTCCGCATGAAGGACGTGCCGTGTATCTGACTGGGGAAAAAGCACCTGCTTCCTCCAGGCACAGTCACTGGGGGGTGCTTCATCTTTTCCCAGCAGCTCTGAAAAATGAGCTTTTAAGCAGCTTCCTAAGGGGAGGTGTTTGAGGTTTTTAACATGAAAATCTCATCTTTGGCTCTTTAATCGCACAAGGGCTGAAGAAGAAATGAGCATTTATGTATTTTCAGTGACCTCCTACCCAGACAATGCATTGCTTTCCACAACATTGCAGCTTGCTAATCACAAAGAATGATGCATTAAGGGGATTTCTTTTCAAAGCAGAGGGCATGCACTGCAGTATTTGTTACAGCACTTCCTTTCCCGCTGCTAGCAGTGCTGCATTTCACTGTTTCTTAGCACCCGAGGGTTTGTTTTGCTAGCTTGGATCTACAGTTCTTTATGTCCAAACTATCTGTTTACATACTAATTTTCTGAGATCACAGAAATAGCATCAACCAGCCTAAACTCTATGCAACCAAACAGAATGCAGCAGTATTACTAGTTGAATTTTGCATGCTTCACGATGAGAGGCAAGCCAGTCAAACCAGTGGTCATTGTTGTGCACTGCTGTGGGGTAAGGAGGAGTTGGCTTGGATAGTTGCCAGCTTGACTTCTCCAGACAGTGTAGTGGAAGTAGCCTGCACAGTCTGGGGCAATGGAAGAGCCTTTGCATTTTTCTTTAAAGTGGCTTCATTGGATAGTCAAGACATGGCTTTGCTCAGGCTAGCTCTGTGATTGGTCTTATGGGTTCAGTCCCTGGCTGTGTCACAGACTGCCTGTGTGGCTGGATAACCCTCCGCTGTCACACTGTATGACCAGATTTAAAAGAGCTCAGCTTTCAGTAGCTCCTGTTGTTCTCAATGGAACATGGATAATGATCATGTGTTGTAAAAATCTGGCTTTTAATCTCTGTCAAATAAGGGCTACCATCCTTTCTCCCCAACCCTTTGTCGTAGGTCTTTGGGAAGAGGCCATTTCATAATATGTGCAATATCTAGAAAAAGGAGGCTGTGATTGTAAATGTGCCCTCAAGGCACTATTGTAGTATAACTATTATTAATTCCCACTTGGTTGAGATTTCAGAGGCTCAAGGGTAAGACAAGTCGGTCTCACTTTAGTATGATAGCGTCTATTATACAAGGGCCCAGAAAATACCAGCTGTAAATTAAAAACACCATTCAATAGATTTCTGAGATGATTTGGCAAGACGTGTTTCATTCTTACCCTTTGCAATGTCGAAATGATGGGCTGAATAAAATATCTGGCTCTGAATTATTTAACACCTGTAGTCTTCAGAGACCTTTAGAAACAGGGTAGTTCTCCTGGGTCTGCCTTTGAAAGAAAATGATATATTGTCTAGTTAAAAAACGTGACCTAGACATTGGAATATGCCAGGCCATGTGGAAATAGTGTCTAGAAACAAAGGTCTCACTGTATCTTGATTAAGATGCCTTCATCCTATGCTATGAATCCTCAAGATGGAGGTGCCTCCTACATTATCTGAAAACAAAGTAATATTGTTCCAACCAGGGAGAGGTTTTCACTGTATGGAAACTAATTTCCTGGACTAAGCTTCATCACTCTGTACTGGGTAGAAGACTTTGTGGTTGATCACACGTCATTGCCAGTTGAAACAAAGCATTGCCAAGGAGTTAACAGTCAGCTGGGCATGGCAGTGGAGAGGTCAGAGAAGGGAGGAGGTATTTTCGGTAAAATGTTGGATAAGGGGTATGCATTGTGATCCTGCTAAGAATAAAATTGTAAAGTTGTACAATTGCTTACTATACGTCAAACTTCATGCTATTTCCTGTGGCTTCATCTAACATGGATGTTGGTTTCTGAAAAATTGCTAATTCCAGCAATATTAATTTTACTTAAAAATGAGTACTATTGCTAGGGCCAGGAGCAGAGCAAACTAATTAAGTATGCTTACTGTACCCATTATGAAAGGGGTTGAATCTGTTTTGTCTGATTTTTTTTTTTTTTTTTTTTTTTTT